TGTGTGTGTGTGTGTGTGTGTGTGTGTGTGTGTGTACACTCAGGTTTGTTCAGCGGAGTCCTGTCACGTTACTCAGCAGCAGCATCATCATTCACATCATCCAGTGTGCGATTGCTGCCACCTCATTGGACCATCGAGATGCCAACTGCAGCGTCATGAAGTTTGTCCGAGACCTGATTCACACCGGAGTCGCCAACGATGTGAGTCAACAAAGTATAATGTTCATTTAACAAACTTGTGACCAAGAAAGTCATGTTTTTCAGGAAAAGGCTTGAAGTTTAAAATGAAATCACATGACGAATATCAATATATTAAATAATAATATTGATAATTTACTTGTTTTACTTCATAAACAATTTGAAAATGTAAAAACGTGACTCATGTTTCTGCAGCACGAGGAAGACTTTGAGGTTAGGAAGCAGCTGATTGCTCAGGCCATGGAGCAACATGGTCAGCAGCTAGTCACTCAGCTCATGCACTCGTGTTGTTTCTGTCTGCCGCCGTACACGCTTCCTGACGTGGCCGAGGTTCTGTGGGAGGTCATGGCATTTGACAGACCTGTGAGTAAACAACTGAACATGTGCATCAGTCTGACGGCACCTGTGGATCCTGACCTCGCTGACCTCTGTCTTTTCAGACGTTCTGTCGCTGGTTAGAAAACGCTCTGAAAGGTTTACCAAAGGAGACATCAGGAGGCGCCGTGACAGTCACACACAAACAGCTGACTGACTTCCACAAACAGGTCACCAGGTGAGACACCTGCAACACATATGACATCGACACATAGAACGTCAACATGTACCACGTCTACCATGTGACGTCAACATATACAACATCAACATGTATGACACTGGCAATGCCAGAAGACGTCTTTGACGCCCACACTTTTTTGTTTCCTCAACTTCATAAGAAAGGTGTGACAAGGCTTCAGGTCATGGTTCTGTTGGAGCGACTTGGACCTGATAAGGTTTTAACAACCAGCCAAATAAACGCTTCCGATTGGCTGACAAACCAAACGTGTTAAAGTGGGTTGTGTCTTTGTCCGAAATCACTCACTAATTACTATATAGTGACATTTTTTATTCCCTTTATTGTGGACTCATTGTTTCACACAGTGCATCAGGAAAGGAGTTTACAACCAATGGTCACTGAGCAACATATCCCATCATGCATTACAATCACAGCGTTGACAGGAAGTAAAATGGGGGAGAGGAGAGAGCCCTGGAGTTTTTTTTACGCCACAGGACAAATCTGTGAGTTGGGACTGTAACGCTGGGCCACACCGGTGATGCAAGCGCCAATTCTTGTGCGAATAGCCGGCTTGCTTTTCACATGTGCACATTTCTCCGCGCCGCTCAGCCCGCGATTCTGCTACTTTTTAATCACACATATAGCTGATATTTGTCATGGTTAATAACTTCATTCGGTTATGGTCGGGTTAGGGAAAGCATTATGTCAATGAGTGTCCTCACAACTATAGAGTCTTATTCTTAGTCTTATTCTTTCAGGTGAAACCCTGGTGGGTTCTAGCTCACCCAGAGTAAATCAAAATAAAGAGTGAGTAAGTAGGGGATTTTCATATCTTTACAATACAACAGGTACAACAAGGTTTGTAAACAAGTCAGATACTAAATGAACATAAGTAGAAAACCATAAAGAACAATAGAAACTAAAGAAAATTTGTTATTAATTTGTAAAATGTAGATTGTGTGTTGAGCTTCTCTGCATCAGCCACAGTGAACATACAACAAGTGAAGTAGATGCAGTCTGTGGTACTATGAGTACTTTGGTCCTACGGGTCAGGTCGGTTCTGTTGAGCTCCAGCAGCTGTCAAATGTTTATTCTCTGAAGAGAATCTAGATCTTTCAGAAACTCATCAGAGGAGCTCAAAGGATTGTGTGGGTCCTCCTCAGAGACTGGAACCCTCAACACACCCTAACATATGACTGTGTTAATAGAAATGAGATACTAAATCTGTTGTGTTCATGCTTGTGTTTGTTCAGTGCTGAGGAGTGTAAACACGTGTGTTGGGCCATCAGAGAGTTCACCAGACTGTTCCGATAGCTGCAACCTTCACACCTCACCAGGTAACTGTTCACACCAGGTAACTGTTCACATCTTGTTGTGTTTTGAACTTTGTTGTTTTGTCTTCAGGTTAAATGTTTTGTTGACCAACGTTCAGAGGTGACGGCAAAAATCTGCGACTGCAGACGAGGATCCAGAGAACGAGGAAGAAGAGGAGGAAGAGAAAGACTGAGAGAACGTTTAGAGGTTACGTGTGAAACAGGATGAATTTCTCTGACAGACTGACAGAGTGAGGACTGACTGAACAGACTGAGTCCTCCCCCTGACCCCTGACCCCTGAACTCACCTGCAGCAGGTGAAAGAGGGCGGGGCCAGGATTGGGAGGAGTTCACTAAGTGAGCTGATGCGGATCACACCTGTTGGATCTTGATGAATCGGAGGACGTGCCTGGTCAACAGTTTTTAAGAGATTTATTTTTGGGACTTTGGTCGTGATGTTTTTTTGTCCGTGCCATTGAAAGAGCCAAAAAAATTCCCATGATGCTCTTGGCTGAGCGGCTGCCTGAGGGGGCGTGATCTGGTGGATTTGGCGTCACCTTTGACCTTTTTAACTTTGGTTGAATTTTAGTTGTTTTTCCACAAAGTGAGAGAGACTGACACCATGACATCATCGGTGATGTAGCCTTGTTGTAAACAATAAACAACTGAAACAACAAACAACGTTTTACTAACATTTGACTCGTTTGTGTAAAGACGTCTGATTCGCCCGAAGCGGGTGGGAAAGTTCCCCTGACAGTTTTCATCACTAAGATAAAAACTCGCCTTTGCTCAGGTAAAATTAGTCTGAGTCTTTGCTGCACCCTGTGGCTAACGAAGACAGTTTTTAAATTTGTGTTTAACTGCTGATCTGCCAAAGGGGGCAGCACTGAATCTATTCAGATCCGAAGCTCACAACTTCTTATAATTTGATGAAGTGATGCCACTGTTCTGTTCCTGATGTTTCCTGTTTACTTTAATTTTGTAATTCTGCCCTCTTGTGGCAGCAGTGGACGATTGAAGCTAGCTTGACTACGATCCTATGTCGCTCATTTCTTTAGTTTCAGATTGATGCGATAATTCATTAATATTGAGTCACAATTTACTGAGAGAATCAGTCAAATTCAAAGATCATCTGACCGGAACACATGTGACCAGAGTTGATTTCAAGGTTAGGGTTAGAGCTACTGATGAACAGGTGAGGTCTCTGCTGCCTTCTGGGTCATGTGATGGCCTCATCACACCTGTCCTTTGGTTTCAGCTGAGAAGAAGACATCCGATGGAGTCTCAACTACTTTTAAAAACTATTTACTAACCCTGAACCAGCAGAAACCACACCACAGTCTATTAAAGACAACTATTAACTACCCCTAACCAGAAGACCAGACTTCCTGTTGTGTCACAACTGATTTAATTAAATATCAGTTGATTGATTTTCTGGTGATGTTACTGGATTGAAGTTTCTCCAAAATCTAAAGGTTCATCCGCTGAGGACAATAAATCTCTATGGTAAATGCTGTTTTTCAGTAGTTTATAATAGTGAACAGACTCAGTGCTGCCCCCTGTGTCAAGTCAGTTCACAGATGATTTGTTTTCTGGTTGATGAATCAAAAACTTGACGAATGAAAGAAAGAAAACGAGTTTATTTAATTTTTGAAAACAGACAAACTGGTTAAACAGGTGAACTGTCAAAATGTTTTAACAGTTTAAATTTAAACAGTTTAATCAATTTTAAAAACTGTTAACATGTTTTTGGTCATTGAACCACAAACCCCCCAAGGGTTCTAGTGTCCAGGGCCCCTGGATGTGAAGATCAGGGCACGTTGGGGGTCCAGGGACCCTGGATGTGTTGGCTCTGCAGGAGCTTCTGCAGTTCTTTAAACTGCTCCACCGTCTGGTCCTTGACATCAGGGTTTGAGATCTGTAGTCGGATGCTGTCGGTCGACCAGCTGAGTTCTCCTGAGAACATCTCTGTCAGGATGCGAGCCACAACAGGAACCACCTGAAGACAGGAACCAGGTTGAGACCAGAACAGCCACTTTAATGTAGGTTGATAAGAACCATGTTAAAGTGTTTGATGTAGTTTTTAAAGTTAAAAAATAAATCTGCTTCTGAAGCTTTAGTTCTTTATGAAGAAGCTGCATCATGAATCTTTAATAGTTCAGACAGTAAACTGGTTGTTAAGGTTGATCAGGTGCTGATGTCTTACGACCTCTGACCTGAACGATGATGAGTTTTTTCTCTTTGGGTTTCTTGTCAGGCCAATCCTCCCCAAAGCAGAAGTAGATCTCAAAGGGTGGAGGGTTCGTAGCTTCACCTTTCTGGAACAGGATCAGAGCTGAGAACAGAACATTTATTTCAACAGGAGGCTCAGAGGTGAATCCAAACACTTTCTGACACAACTTTTGACTCCTCACCTTGAAGGAAGTCATTCAGACTGAAAACTTTGATCTTTTTCTCCCGCTCCAGGGGGTTTGGTGGACTCTGTTCGGTTGTTCCCGGTCCAGACCAGAACACCTTACACTGACAGAGCCGGATGGCGTAAATGTCCTGTTCCCAGATCTCCAGGATCAAGCCTCGGTCCATCACGTCTAGCAGGGCCTCTGTGTAGAACCGCTGCTTCTGGTTCTGGATCTCAGACGTCCCTGGGAACAGGACCTGCTGCAGAGTGACGGGTCCAAACAGGTCAACCTGTTCCGGGCTTGGCTCTAGATGGCCAGAGTATAGCCGGCAGCCCTGAGGGTTGCTCACAGTCAGCGAGCCCATGATCCGACCCCGGTACTGGAACTTCAGGTCCAGATCTGTTACTGTAGCAACAGAGGGACTGAGACTGTTACTATGTCAACACTGACAGGGGAACTGTTGAAACCTCATAATCCTGACGTTCACTCCACATAACAGAACTAGTTTCCAACAGAGAAATAGGACCTGAAAACGGTTATGTCCTGGTTCTAGACAATGAGACTGGGAGGTTTCAGGTTAGATACCGATGTACCAACACCATCCACTGCTCTGTCAGACCTTGATTATGAAAACCACAAACTGAACTGAGACAGGGTCAGACACAGGATCTGGTCCAATATTCTGGACCTGATTGCACAGAAAATAAATCTGCTGATTGTTCAGCATCATCACAGGGAAGTAAAGGTTAAGGCTCAGAGCATTCACTCACGTGGGACACTGCTGAGCAGGTCGTACTTGCAGGGTTGCTGGTTCTGGATCTCTCCTATGCTGCTGGCCTCCATCAGGTCCGATCCAGGGGCAACAGAGGCAGCAGGGGGCGGCAAAGAGTTCAAGTCCTGGAGTCTGGTCGAGAGTCCAGAGACAAAGTTCTGACCCGGGGCCTGAAGGTCAGCAGTCACAGGGAGGAGGGGCATCGAGATCACATGATGAGGCCCAAACACCTCATTGGAAGATAAACTGAACTGATTGAAGGGGGAGGGGTCACTGATCCTGGGATCTGATGAGACATGACATCATACCTTTCCATCATCAAATGACATCATGAACCACCTGGTTTCTATGGAGACAGTGCAGTGTTACTTACTGATGGTGAGGTCCATCAGGTTTGGCATCTGAAAATTAAATAGGAGTTAATAATCAACAAATATGAACGAGATGTATTTTATATTTCTACACTGAATTTTGCACCTCTTCATCATCATCATCATCATCAAAGCCACCTATAAAAAAAAACAACAACCGCAATCAGATATCATGTGAAATTAGTAATTATTTAAATGATTCAGATGTTTATTTGTTTGTGATCGATAGAATAAAGAACACACTGACTCTGAAGTAAACATTTCAACAGCAAAACTTCACCTGTGACATCACCTGCACTCGCTGGCTGCTCGCACACCTCGTAGATCTTGTACGGGCGAACCGGCGTCTCTTTGGTTCCGTCGTATTTCAGCTGAAACTCTCGACTCTTGTTCAGAGCGCAGCGAAGGTTCGCCTTCCACTTGGCAGGGTCAGGTTCATCAACACCTTCCTGATATTTACCTGTCTCAAGAGCCCATGCCTGCAAGACACAGTGCAGGGATTACACACGCCATATCTAAACATGCTTATATTTACATGTATGTTTAAAAGAACATTCAACAATGTTAAAATAGCAGTGTTCCTGAAAACACTGACTGCTTCATTTAAAACAGAAAAGAAGAAGTGACATCATTTCTAACGTTCAACATGTTTCCTGTTTCTTAAACACGCCCAGCACACTTCCTCACACATGCACACTTCCTCACACATGCACACACCCTCACACATGCACACTTCCTCACACATGCACACACCCTCACACATGCACACTTCCTCACACATGCACACACCCACAGTGTGGTCGCAAACTGTCTGTCATCCGTGTTCACACCTTGAAGACAGTGTTTTCTTCATCAGACGTCGACGTGTGGCGTGTAGCATGTTTCCAGGGGATCTGGAAGAGGCGTTGTTCTGCGTTGATCCACTGGAGACCAGGAAACCTGCCACTGTTCACCTGCGCCAGGAGCCATGGCTTCAGACGGATCCTCCGAGGCTGGACGCTCATGTCAGCGCTCTGCAACATGTATGACGATTGTTCACTAACCGTGGAGTAACCGTGGTAACAGTAACATGTGAAACTGCCCTTACAGAGAAAGACAAACACTGATAAATAAAGTTTAATACTTTATTCAAAATGATTTTGTTAAAAGTTTTTGGAAGTCTAAGTCACAAGATCAGTCATGTGATCAGTCATGTGATCAGTCCGGACCACTTCAAATCACACTGATCCGACATTGATTTGGATCAAGGTAAATGTTCGTTGGGTGAAGATGCGTGAGTCATGAACTCGAGATAAAGGTTTGGGTGAGACTGTTCACAATGAATGGAAGTCAATGGGACTCAAACCCTAACCCACACTGTGTGTGTGTTACTGTGTGAGTGTTACTGTGTTTGTGTTACTGTGTGTTTGTGTTACTGTGTGTGTGTTACTGTGTGAGTGTTACTGTGTGTTTGTGTTACTGTGTGTTTGTGTTACTGTGTGTGTGTGTGATGAACTCACCTGGTTCCAGTTCGTTGAAAAAGTTTCTGGTTCCGATCTTTGATCCTCTGGAGCGTCACAAACGTCACAGTGACGTCACAAACAGACCAACAAAATGAAGCTGAGACACGAAAACAAAACGAATCAACAGAAGAAAGAAAGAAAAGAAGAAAAGAAGAGACGAAGAAACGAGAAGCTCCTCGACTGAGACCAGAGTCAAGTCTGTCACAACCACTTTCTTCTTCCTACGTGAGTTCACCACCTTCAAAATAAAAGCTCCGTTTGTCAGAGGAAACATCCATAATTATTTACTCATTGTAACATGAAGACAGAAAAATACAAAACGGATTATTTACTCAAACATAAAAATGAACCTTTCGTTACCACGTGTGTGTGTGTGTGTGTGTGTGTGTGTGTGTGTGTGTGTGTGTGTG